CAAATTTTCCTTTAATCCAATGAAAACGTTGTGCATTTAATTCTTATCTCTCATCTTACTACAGGTATGATCCAAGTAGAAAATTGAGTTGACGATTTTTTATCGAATTTTTATTTCAAAAGTTCTCCAGATCTAAAGTATTCTACATTACATTTCAATTAAGAATGTTTTGAAAAAAAAAGACGCTGTCCGATCTCTTAACCTAATCCTCCGACCTCTTGACCTAATCCTCACTTGGTTACACAACCTGAACGTTTAATCCTTATTTTTTATTTAACTCATAGCATAAAAATGATGTCCCAGCTTGTGGCATTTGATAACTTCTCGAAGGGTCTACATAATCTTGATATTTTACAGGATAATGGAACCGAAAAAATGATCCAATAAAACAAATTATTTTACGAATATTTTCTCAGCTTTCTGTTCGCTTATGCCTTTGATAGCGTACAGTTCTTTGCGAGGTGCATAAACAATTGCTTCGAATGTGCAGAAACCAGCTTCCTTCAGCTTTCGAATATCAGCAGCAGATATTCCAAATTGCTAAAAAAGCAGCAAAAACATCTGGAAATTAACGCTTATAGCTCAAACTATAGCACTACAAATATCCAGTGAGTGCACTCAATGAGAGGTTTACTCGTCTCTTATTCCTCTTATCTTTGATAAAAATTCTTCAAAAGGTTTCAATAAAGTATATTAAAAATCTTTCACTGCTCTAAGTCAAATCCATCCTTTTCATTAGGCAACTGTAAGCCCAAAAAACGAACCAAAAAAGGAACAGTTTGATTACCGATGCGTTTGATTACTGATGCCATTTTTGTACACTTGCAAGATGTTATAGAAATCCTCACAAGTTATAGAAATATTAGAAATAGAACTGTCTGGTCTCACGTTAATAAGCATAATATTTAATGAAGTTTCCAAATGTTACTTTCCATAATTGGATTTGTGTATTCGCAAACTATGTTACTTGTATCAAATAGTGTCAAAGATTTGTGTCAAGTCTTTGTGTAATTTGTGTCAAACTTTCAAAAACTAGTTAAAACTTGTGCAAATTTTAAATTTCATTGATAAACGTTTAACCTCAAGTTTATCGACGACTGTGAAAGAATTAACATCTTCCTCCTCAACTAGTGCAATATTACTTGCTTCCTCTGTTACTGCTGCTGCTGCTGCTGCTGTTGAAGTAGAAGCCTTATTCTTTTCTTTTTCCTTTTGTCTTTGCGCCATTTTAATGGATGAACCTGTAACTGATAATTCAAGTAACTTAGCATTATCTGTAAAGGATAAAGTATTGCGAAGAGAGAAAATAAACTTGCCAGAACAAAATAATCGATTCTAACGTGAAAATTCACGAATTAAATACAATAATTTAGATGTAGACAAACAAAAAATCCTGCTATTATTGATCATGGATTAGCAATAATTTACAAAAAGTGAGTAACAATTTACGCAAATTAACCAAAGTAAACACGTAGAAGTGAAAGTCAAAAGCGCTCAACGAATAAATTCAAACCGAAAACATTCAGCGCCCCACCTTTACCGCGCTGAGAATTACAGCGCTATATCTCCCCCGTAAAGTCATGTCTCATTTTTAAATTTCAAAATAAAGTGATTTTTTCGAAACAATAAACCATAAAGTATATATATAGTTGGGGTTTACGAAATTTAACAATTATAAAAGTAACCTGAAATTGGAAATGGATCTCAAATCTAATGCTTTTTCAAAAAATAATTCATTATTAAAATGTGCGACATTTACTTTACTTATGTTGAGCTCAGTTTGATGAAAACAAAATCACAGGTAATTTTTTTGCAGAATTTTCAAAATTTCAGGTAAAGTAAATTTTTGAGTGTTGTTTTTCCAATCTAAACATTCAATCTTTTTCAATCCAGTATTTTCAAAATCTAAATCGAAATTTCGATTTGCAAATTTCAATTTCTCTGAAATTTGACCTTTGAACCTCAGAATTTTATTTCTCTCTTTTAGACCTTAAAATCATATTTTTATCTTTATTCTTCAGGTTTCTTATTTAAAATTCCCACCACGTCTATTAATGGTTCTGAAATTTAAATAAGATTTCATAGAGATTATGATAGATTGCTTTGATCAACCTGGACAAATAAACTTTCCGACTGAGTAGCACTAAACCAAAAGCGAGCAAAAGTTATGTATTGTAAGTTTTTAAATTTTTTCTTTTTTTTAGTTCCTATTATTCTCATATTACTTTTGATTGCAATCATAAATATATTTAACATTTTATGGCATTCAAATTTAATAATTGCTTCCTTTTTTGTTGTTGATCTCTCGGATTTACCAGTGGTTTCCTCTTGACACTTATGAAATACCGGATGAAGTATGCAGTTCCGGTCGAAACTTACAACAAAAATGTTGGTGATCAATGAGGAATTTATAGTTTTAGCATTTTCTACTGAAGTGCTTGAGTGTTTAATGAAGAGTTATCGAAGTAAAAGATTACTGTTTACTCAATACTTCTAATGCAATTTAACAATTTTCGTTTCTAACATTTTGTTTCAATTATTTCCTGTATTTTTTTTTTATTTCAATTATTTTACATTTTCTTATACTTCATTTCGTCGAAATGTATATTTCTTCCAATATCTTAAAATTTTTATCAAAAAAAAATTGAAACGAAAATGATTAAATTCAAATAATGTTCAGATAATTAAATGAAAAGGTAAGTTTAATGGCAAAAAGTTAAGCTTTTGACCACTTGATTATCAGTTAAATTATCATGCAAAAATGATTACATCATTTGTCGATTTTTTTTTTTTGAGTTTGGATTATTCTGAAATAAAATTGTAAATCTTGACTGAAGTTTCTGGAATTAATACTTTTACTTTTTATTATGCCATATAAGTTTTTGCATTTAACATTTCATAGATTGAAATTAGGGGGAAAAAATTATTCTAACTCCATTTTCTACTAAATTTTAAATGGAAATTCGAAATTTTTCAAATGAAAATGCTTAAATTTTAAATGAAAATCGGAAGAAGGATAAATTTTTATTGATAATTCGACAAACACTAGCAAATTAGACACACACACACACATACATCGCTGTATCTTCAACAGAATTCAACAGTGACAAAAATAAAAGACAGGTTTTCTCGTCATCGCTATTCGTTATTTTCGTTTGTGACAAGTGAACAAATGAATATTCATCCATCCACTTACTTTTCTGCAAATAATCTCTTTAAAATTGATGTTGATAGATGAAAGTAAATTTACATATCTAAAGTCATTATTTGCATATCGAATTTCTATTTCGATCTGTTCATACAGTTTCATCATTGTCGTAAAAGCTATCGCTTAACCGTTATTGTTGGACATATAGATATGACATAAGTAATAAACTTATCAATGAATTATTAGCTATAATTGTAAAAATAATCTAGCCACTCTAATTAAGTTATTTGATTAGAATGGAGTTATTCTATGATTTTGTGAAATTATTCATTTATGGCTTTTCTCAGCAAATTTATCAGAAATTATCCAAAAGGAAAAGCAAAAATTATCCAATATTGAATTTATAAATATTTCATTAGAAATATGATCAAATTCCTATTTACAACCTTTATAATTAACTTTTTTGCACTTAGGATTTGAAAGATCATCGTTTATTTCGAAATCTTCCGATTTTTAAGACTTGACTTATTTTGATTGCTTTATCATTCATGATTTAAAAAAAATTAATGAAAATACTGTTTATAAATAATATTTTGGACAGCAAAGTTACGTACGTGAACACGTGAACATGTATATGTGGTCTTCCGTGAATGCGCGTCTATGTGTGTGTATGTTTGTGTGTGTGTGTGTGTGTGTGTGTGTGTGTGTGTGTGTGTGTGTGTGTGTGTGTGTGTGTGTGTGTG